TAGGAAACCTGCATTTTATTTAAAGTTCAAACAATCACAAAAGGAAGACCCTTTTTGGCACATGGTAGGAGCCACCCTAATGCACATCCCAAGCCCCAATAGCATTGACCCTTTTCTGAATACATACCTACAAAAATAACCTTAAGTTATTTATTACATTTACTTACAGACTACTTTTAAAGATATGTTTGACAAAACCCCTAATTTATGGGACACGATATTATAAGTGTTGGCGTAGTCTCGCTATTTTCATTCATCCATCTAAGAGTCGGGGTTATCAAGATTGGACCAGACTGGCAAGTTTGATCAGCCAACCTACGAGTAAATGCTTTAGTTAGTTTAGTCCAAAGTGAAATTTTAGTTTCAATAAGAAACTATTTAAAACCAATGTTTGTCCTGTCTTTCTAGCCAATTCTGATTAGGTAGACAGGATAGACAAGACTCGGAATTTTTATAATATATTTTCTTTTTTTACTTTTCTTTTTAAATCTAAACCAACTAAGAATTTTTATAATATATTTTCTTTTTTTACTTTTCTTTTTAAATCTAAACCAACTAATTTTCTTGATGAACAAAACGATTTTGATAAGACCAAACCATACCATTCACCGATTTAGGGGCATGTCCTTTTCTAATAACACTTTCTTGGAAATTGATTGCCCTAGAGGCATATTCGTAACCCTATTAAAGATTTAGCAAGGATGGCTTAAACAACACATGATTACAAACATATTTAATTGATGGAGTCTCAATTGCTATGTGGGTACCATATGCACTAGAGCGTGGCACAAAGAAACATTTCCTATCATATAAAACCAAAATACTTAAAATTCTATGCATACTTTTACCATACAAAATAAAAATAAGTGATAACGCTCCTATAACATCTTAACCCAACAAATTTCTTACTCCTATGGGAGTATATTATCCATTTACTCCATTGGGCAAAATACATGTTAGTAGTACTTTTCTACAACCCATAACCTAATCCCAATTCAAAAAAATTGTCGAATAAACTCTCTATGTACTTGAAAAAACTAGTGACTCAAGATTGAATGAAGACAATCCAATTTTTAAAGAGCTAGATCTAAGTGTCACAAAACTCAAAATTTCAATTTTTTATTTTAAAAATAATAATATAGTGATTCCTATATAGTTCCCAAAATTTTAGACCAAAAAAGTCTTCTTCAATTGGTGTTTTGGCGAGGGAATAGGTGCACAATATACTCCCGCAGGATCATAATATACGTGCTATAAAAGTGGGGCCTTTGATGGTCATTTTTCCACGCCTCCTCGTCTCCCTTTCGGCCAACCTATTACCGTTGGATCCCCTTCGATCGTTCACTTTATGAAAGCTTCTTTAATTAATGTCTTCAATATTTTCAAATGAAAATTTGTTTTTTTTTTTCATTTTATTTTAGGGAAATATGATTACCGGGTGGGCCTTTTGAAAGGTAAAAAGCTGGATCCCAAAGCAAAAGAAGCGAGAAAGCGAAGGGGAAGAAGGAATCCACTCACCATTCCAACCCCCTTTTCCCTCCTCTTTTATTTAATTAATATCCTCCTTTGAATCATTGCCCTTCATATGAAATGCTATTCCACTAATTCGTTTTCATCATGGCCCCTCATAAAAATCCCATGTATACCTTGCTTGTAAAATCCTTACTTGGACATGCGCGTGCATAGTATACACATATTTTCCAAATGACCTTCTAACTAAGCAACATTTTCTTTCCCATTTTTTTTTTTTTTTTTTTTTGTGTGGGGTGGTTTGAGATTCTACCAATGGCAGCTAAATCGTTCTCAAATTTTCTTTATTAGGCAAATTTTTTAAATATATTATTTATCTTTGGATGCTTCACAAAAATTTAATGAAAACTTAGAAAGGAAGACAAAGAAATTGCACTTTCAATGTAAATATTCACAAACTCATATTTCTTTTGGAAAAGTGCATTACGCCTATGGGGACATATAACTACGTTTGTGTCTCCCAATGCATCCCACGCACGTCCCATCATGTAGTGTGGTGGTCCCTCGGAGAAAGCTAGAAAATAGATTTTCTAGAAAAAAAATTCAAAAAATTATTTTTTAAAA